TTTTCAATAGATTTCTTTGGACGCTCCTCCATTACACAACGTATCATAGCACATTAGCATCTCATTAAAGAATTTACTCCTACGACAATTCCAGCCGTTTAGTCCATTTGCACATTACAAGCAATAGGATGGAAGAGACTGAACATGTTGCCCGGCGGCTTGACCGCATGTTAAAAAACAAAAAAATAGTATGTTTTAGTCTAGCCATCTTAATGCATCTTCTCAGGATGATGAGTCTGCGCTAAAATACCTTAGGAGATTGCGAAACATTGAGATGACTCTGGAAATCTTAACAAAAACCGGTGTGGGTATAATTATCAATAAGATAAGAAAGGAGTCGGAAGATCCGGAGGTTGCTACATTAGGGAAAAACATGATCAAGCAGTGGAAAAAGCTTGTCCCAGGTAGGCGAATTTTGTGTCGAATCTCTTGTCTTTTAAGATTCGTATTAATGAAATGTCTTTGAGCAACAATCTACCAGAACTACTTGCTAGTGTCTTAGTTTTAACAGCTGTCGGGCAAAGATTGTTCCAATTTCCAGCGTTTGAATATTCTTATAGTTTTGTGGTGAAATGTACTGCATCATAAACAGATTACCTTGTCGTGCACTTAGAAAGGCGAATATTCCGTCATCTAAGGTTTTTGTGCCTAATGTATTTAGTTCGTTCCCGTAAGTCACAATCGTAAGCGATTACAGTAATTTATGTCTGCCAAAAGAACCTATTTGTCATATTTATAGTGCAGCTGGGTAAATGGAGCAATATCTGGCATATATTACGGACGACGTAAAATTACGAGAGCTTATCGTATTCTTTCGTGCCTAAAATTTGATATCTGTCAATTCATTATGCGTCTCAAGATGAAAATGTAGCGAGGTTATTGTTTGTGAACAAACCAATAAGATCTAGGATTCTGAGTTTTAGATTTTGACGCAAAATTCATTCACCCTTTTGGCCAAATTACATTTTGGTGTTATAGCTGATTTCAATTCTGACAAAAACCCCAGATCTTATTCCTTGACCCAACTTATAACTCTAACTTCTAGTTTCTACACTTGAAATGACTCACTTCAATAGTCGCGCTTCACGGACTAATGCCACGTTCTAGTCTGACCACCCCTTAGATTCCTGGCCACTCCCACACCAAACAATTTGACTTGTTGACATAGGCGGTAGTTGGACGTACGTAATGCATATCCCGACCACCTTGGTTTATGAAAATCGACCTCCTCGTCAATTGATTCCCCAGTTATCTAGTCCTTATAATGCAATTGTTGGGCACACTAAAACCAGTGAGGCAACACCTTTCGTTTCTTAGGATGGGGTAAGGAACACACACAGTATTGCTTTACTATCATTATTTATTTATTTATTTATTTAAACACATATATATTGGTACAAAAGGGCACCAGGTACATATGCGCCACACAAAATAATGAAAGTAGGTAGATAAAGGATGAAAAGATAAGGCGGGCTGAAATGTACAACCAGAAGATCCTTTCAGTTAGGAAAGGTAGGACCATTCTTTATGTAGAAAGTAAAAGAAGGTTGCAGCAGGATCGCCACTGGCTTCTATTCTGAGCCATATCCGATAACGTCTCTAGCCACTGTGTTGCACTATCTCTCGGACCCCAACCAGGGAGTCGTGAAGGACCAACGGAAGCTAGCCCTTTGCAGCTCTCTTTCATGCCACGACACCATGTCATACACTGACCTCCTCTCCGCTTTCTCCAACCAGTCCCAGGATCGGCAAATAATGCACGACGCGGAAGTCTCTGGGACGACATTCGTAAAACATGTCCGAGCCACCGAAGTCGGTGTTTCAAGATGGTGACACCAATTGAATTATCGTCTCTGCGCCCGAACACACGATGCCGAACCTCTGCATTACTAACATGGTGTTGCCACTGGATGTCAGCAATCCTTCGGAGACAACGATGATCGAACACAGAGAGACGTCTAACATCCTCAACTCGGAGAGGCCAGGTTTCACAAGCATAGAGCAAAACTGCTCTCACCGACGCGTTGTAGATCCGACCTTTTACAGCCAGACTAACATCACGAAGGCGCCAAAGATGGCCCAGATTGGCATAAGCCGCTCTGGCTTTCATTATACGTGCATCAATCTCATCACTCACGCCACCACCAGCACTTATATAGCTACCTAGATACACGAACTTCTCAACTACTTCGATCTCCTCACCATCCAGGGTGAGTACAGGATGAGAATCCTGCCAGTCTTGTAGAAGTACTTTGCACTTGGAGGGTGCAAAGCACATGCCGTACCTGCGGACACTGATTGCCAACTGATTAAGTGCTGATTGCATGCCTTGGGCATTATCGCACAGTAAGACAATATCATCCGCATACTCAAGGTCGAGAAGTCGTTCTCCAGGCAACATATCCACACCGCCATTACTTACATCCATCAGAGCTGTTTCTAGGATGTCGTCGATGGCAAAGTTGAAGAGGAATGGGGAGATCGGGCAACCCTGCCTAACCCCACTGCTCGAATGGAACAAGGGAGAAAGGTGGTTGTATACCCTCACTCTGCCTGAGGTGTTCGTATACAGGGCCTTTAAGATGTTAATGAACTTCTCAGGCACACCCTTCTTCAATAGACAATCCCAGAGAACAGTCCTGTCCAACGAATCGAAGGCAGCCCTGATATCAAGAAACACTACGATTGTTGGCCTGCGATAAGTATGACGGTGTTCTAACATTTGGCGGAGGGTGAAGATGTGATCAATGCATCCTCGACCAGAACGAAAACCAGCCTGCTCCTCGCGAGTCAATCGTTCTCGGGTTTTAAACAACCTACGAAGAATGATAGAAGCCAATAGTTTGGACGCGATCGAAAGTAGACTTATCCCCCGGTAGTTATTGCAGGAACAACGTGAACCCTTTTTAAAGATAGGGACGACTATTGACTCATTCCATGATGTTGGAACACTTTCTTGCTCCCAAACCTTTCCAAACAACGCAGTCAGTTCCTTAGCCAGAAAGTCACCACCATCTTTAAAAAGAGCCGGAGGTAAGTCATCTGGGCCAGGTGATTTATAACGTTTCAAGAGTTGGAGTTCCTTGCGGACTTCCGCCTCGTTTGGTGGATCAGTCGTCACCGGCCATGGGGAGCAGGACAAGCTGGTTGATGTTGCCGGAGCAGCAGGCCAGTTGAACTGCCCTTCGAAAAATTCCGCCCATCGTCCAAGACGTCGACAGATGTTAGTGATTGGCATCCCGTCATCCTCGTAGATTGTTTCACTCACACCAGACTTCTTGCTGCCAGTGGCTCGGATGAGTTGGAAGAGCTTCCGGCAGTTACCAGATGCAGCTGCTGCTTCCATCTCATTAGCACGCTCCGACCACCAGGCTTCCCGGTCCTTACACAAGCTTTGCCCGATTTCATTACGTAACAGCCTTCGTTTGTGGTCAAACTCACGGTCACCCGGAGTAGACCGACGGGCTTCCATCAGTTGTAAGGAGCCAGAAGAAACCCAGTGCTTGTAAGCGGGACGTTTCGCGAAGCCGCAAGCGGCTTTACTCGCCATTTTCATGGCGTCGTGAAGATGCAACCAATGCTCGTCTATACTTTTCGGTTGGGTGGTAGCTAGCCTAGAGGCTAGCTCCGCTCGATACTTACTTGCAACAGAAGTTGCAGCCAGTTTACTAATATCAATCCGTTGGTGGTGGTCAATCCTTCGGCCACTGAAAAGTAAGGTGAGATTGGCGCAGACCAGGGCATGATCAGACTCCAGATAGGTACTCCAAAAGGAGCGGCAGTCTTGTACACAACCACGCCAGCGGTAGCTGATCGCGATGTGATCAATCTGAGTCCAGGCTTGGGATGCAGAGGGAGGACGCCAGGTGGCACACCGGCGATGACTGTGCCGGAAGTTAGTGCTGGCCAGAAACAGGTTGTGGTCTGTGCACAGTTGCAGCAAACGGTCCCCGTTATCTGTCCGGCGACCAACAAGTCCCCATCGGCCACCTAGACGACTCTCTTCTGTGCCTAGACGCCCGACCTGTGCATTCAAGTCTCCGGCTAGTACTACAATATCTGTCGAACGCGCTTTCTGGAGAAGAACTGTTAACTGATGGTAAAACTCATCCTTGATTGCATCCGGGCTGCAATCTGTCGGGGCATAGGCGGAGATGACGAAAAGACACCGTTTCTCACGCCGATTTCTTCTCACTTTGATGGAACTTTCTAATCTAACAGCACATAACCGACTGTTAATGGGGATCCAATCGATTAGTGCTGCCTCAGCTCTAGCGCTTAGTGCGACACCAACGCCAGCAAGACCAGACGAAGATGCCACATATAATCACGGTCCCCGGATAAGCGCACGTGGAATAAGCTTTTCAAGGCGACAGATGGAGAGCGGATTTGTAGTACTTCACTAGAGTCTTGAATACGGGTCTCGGATAGACAACAAACGTCAACATTAAGACCTTCCAAAGACATAGCCAGCCCTATCTGTTGTCTGATCTGCATTAGTGTGCGAACGTTGAAGGAAGCCAGCTTGAACGGCGTACGTGGTTTCAGAAAGACTGCCTCAGTATTCATAATCGGTGGAAGCATTCACTTTCAACCAGACAGTGACTGGAGATCGTTTAGATAGGACAGATTTTCCACCAAGAGCGAGCTGCTGCATAAGTTGAAGAGTAAGGTTACACAAATTGGGGATAAAAGGGGTTGAATTAGCGATATGGTAAGTAATAATAATAATAATAATAATAATAATAATAATAATAAAGGTAATAATAATAATAATGTTAATTGTCTTGCTTTTAATATGACCAGGGATATCGTCAATAGAGTTCATAATTTCATTCATTTCATAATATCATTCATGGGATTTTAAAATATTCACCAGACACACGTCCGAGTACCCCGAGCCAGCATCATAATAATGTTATAATTGTATTTTGCTGTATAAACGACCCAGCTATTCCTATTGCTTAGTATTATATGATGACACTCAAGAAGACCCCAAAATCAGAACACGTTGAACAGGAATGAAATTGTATTCAAAATAATAATAGTAGGTGAACAGCAATCACTAGTTTAAATAACGTTCATATATTTATAGTATATACATAAGAAGCTTCTAGATTTTTCTCCAATAATATGCCCGGGCTGATCGGTTTAGAATTAGCCAATCAGCGCGCAGCAACACCATCATGCATACATGAAATATCCAATCTATGTCCCACTAACAAATAAGATATTAGTTTTGGAAATTCAAACAGTAATTATTACTCTTAGTAGCATACTCATAGCTTGAGTGATTAAAAACGGAGAAGGGTGGTACTACATATCCGTATTTTTTGCTAATGTGGAATATTGCATCTAAAAATTGAAAGCACAAAGTGCCTGATAACATTTGGACATAGCTATCTTGGAGGGATCAGTGTATACGGTGAGACTTATTGGCTTAGCATTATTGACATGAGTAAGTAGTTAATTGCCTCATAATATTGTCAGCTTTTAACTACTCAAGTAGCTGAGATGGTAAAGGGTTCAATGTGAAATGAAATTGGAAGGTAAACAAAGATGGTCCACTATTTTTGTTGATAATTACTGCAGCATATCGTATTAAGATATCATTAATATTAGTAGTAAAATCAATTTTGATTTATTTTATGATTCCTAATCCGCATATCTTTAAAGTATGTTACGCTTGCGTCAGGCTCACTTCTTAAAAGATCTTGTTTCTATTCCTCAGATAAAGCAGTTCTTAACTTCGATGACATTCTTTTCCATTCAAGTGCCTAATATAATTATAGTGCTAAATCAGGGAACTATACAACATATTAGTTGTTACTAATATTAATCTTGAGAGGTGACTAACGAATCCGCTTTATATTTTGATATATTTTAGACAAAAGTGAAGCTCCTGCATCTTGCACGAATACTGTTGGCAACAACAGTTGTGACAATGGCAACAATAATGATAATAAACATTCACCTGAGTCAAATAGCTACAATGCCTGTGACGATGGACCACAAGAAGCCAAACGGTCTCGGCCAAGTGAAAAGAAGGAATCTACAGAAATATCGGGAAATGCAAGTCGTGGATTTTTTCCTGTCCACACTTTGACTACAACGGATCAAGTACGTTTAAAAGCCCGGGAGATGCTTCAATCAGCACTAGAAAGTGGCAGTAAGTGACAGTAGCAGACCTACACTGATTTTATTTCTTAGATATTCCTAGCGGTGCTTATGAAAGTGAGTTCCTAGCGATACGAATAGAAAGCTCCATATATGACCTTTTCAACAATACTGATCCCAAGTACAAACAACGAGTACGCACTAGAGTTATGAATCTACGCGATTCTAATAATCCCAATTTGCGACTTAATGTCCTAATGGGACACGTGAGTCCGGATAAACTAGCATCTATGACATCAGAAGTAAGTTTTTATTGTTTTGTTAGAAATCCATGTGTATATTTTTTCTCAGTGATCTACCATTTTGAAACTAAATTTACAGATCAGTAGATATCTTACCTAACTTGGTTCTATCATCGAATTATACTCTTATCTTCTGCAGTAGTTGGATAGCTATGGAAGCAAACTTGCTACATTTTTGAGCTATCTGCATTCAGTCGTAAGACGTGATTTCTCACACAGAAATCAAACTTAAACCTTTCACAACTATACCGACGCTACCACAGTATTAATGTTATCCAAGACTACCATTGACCATTATGTTGCACTTTAAAAGGATTAATCGGATCAATCAAATAACCATCTAGGTACACTTACTTAAAAGTAGGTTATTACATACTGTCACTTCACTGGATGTGTTTTTACGTTTTCTAATATATGTAACATACACTTCAGGAGAAACATCCGGCGGTGGTAAAGGAAGAGGTTTTACAAGTTTATTTTGTGTGCATATCTCTTGTTTTTTCAAATATGTAGCGAATGCCTCGGCAACGCTAAGAAAACGAAAGCTCACTGTTCTTGGCAGTTTTCTACTCACTTTATAAATGACAGGATGCTGAGTCCTCTTTGGTCAAATGACTTATGTCCACATGGTGTTCGATTATAGAGCTTCCCATTGAGCCATTGTCACCTCTTTTCAATCAAGCTGGGTATTGTTATCGAACTCTTGTATGAAATGCACATTGAACGACCTATATTACCTGGCTCCTCAGGAATAGATTATTTGATAAACTCACATGGAATTGGTTAAGTGAGTTAATTCATCCTTGAGATTATTACTAAACATCGGTCGACTGGATAAAACTTATTGCAAGGTTGCGGCGAAGAACGTTCTATTGAGAGTCATCAATTATTCTCTTCAGGATATCTTTATTTATTTTGCTTCACTGTTATTGCCATTGATATTATTTTGAAAAAGATGTCTAGATTTACTTTTGTACAGCTTTGAAAATGAATTCGCCAAAAAGAGAACTTATCGCTAAACTAATCTCCCTTAGATAATATGACATAAACTAATAGGCTATACTAAATGAATACCCGTGATTTCCAATTACGTTATCTAGTTCCTTTTCTAAATAATCCAATAATTTATTATCAAAATATTATAGTGCACCCAGTCTATCATGCATTCACAACAAGTATTTGAGGTCATTAAAATATTTGTATGCGTACATCCACAAGTTATCAAAGTGTCACAATTTTTCAAGTCCGTTTTTATAAGTGTTGCTCTTGTTATTAAATGTAAGTTTTTGATTTTGATAGGTTTGGTTTAATTTTTTAGTGACATAGAATGTTGATTGATTGAAGTGAATTAACACGTTGTGACCAACTAATTGACAACTAATCACGAGTCCCCTGACTTGTTACAATAGCCTAATAATCTGTTCTATCTCTACTGAGTCAACCAGTGGTCATCAATATTCAGTCTATTCGGGTTTTTTGTAATGCTTAGTATTGATCATCCAACTAATTATTTTCAGAACCAAGTATACATGAAATCCACTTTATTTTCCTGAATCTGTTCATTAAAACCAAACAATAATACCATGTATGAAAGTTAGATCTATGTTGTTTACGAAAGCTGCATGCACCAATTCAGAATGATTAAACGAATAGTAACAGAAATACTAGTAGTAGTCGCTTAAATAAAGTAGGACCTTGTGTTGTTTCCTAACGAGGCTTGCGTCAGTAATGCTTTCGACTGACTGTTATGGAACATCTATCGATCAACATTTTACCCACTATTTTTAACCAAAACATGCCTAAAGCTAATTCAAAACCCTCCTACGCTACAATTTGATTTCAGTAGGATACGTAAAAAAATTTTAAGTTCCTTATTTATTAATTTGTTTGTGTAGGAAATGGCTAGTAAAGAAATGAAAGAACTTCGTGAGAAATATACTAAAGAAACTATAGAAGACCATCAAATGGCTGTAACCGGTGGTACAGAAACTGATTTATTACGATGTGGAAAGTGTAAGCAAACCAAGTGTACATATAATCAGGTTAGTTGCCTTAAATTAATTATTCTCAAATAAAATTTGGAAATAAAAGTCATCACCGATGACAGTAGGTGATGATCTTGCTGTGTCACAAATTAACTGAAATTGTAACTACAGACCATTAGGTCCGAAGTGAGTGATCTAGAGGTTGTAAACTCGTTGCATGGCCCGAAATTTCTGTACCCAAGCTCCTTCGGAGTTATGAATGTACATTACTAAGAAGTCTCAGATAAGGACAAAACAGACAGACAATGCCCTCTTCGATCGCTGATGTCAATTAATAATATAGCCATATTCACGTTAAACTAAGTTACATATTATACTCGACTGAATATGAGATTATATAAAAGTATTTGTTTTTAATCGCAACTCATATTCTATAATTACTTGTTTTATTAAAGAAAATCTGTTCGTCGCATAACTGTTGTGCGTTTTTCAGTGGTGCGTTCTTGTTGATGCTTAGCTTTACTTCATTTCGGTTTAGTGGAAAAAATATAGTATTTATATCTGTTTCTGTCCATAATTCATTATACATGAATTCTATCTTCCTTCCCAATTATCTTGTATATTTTGTCATCCGCTTTTTGACTGTATCATGTTATTGTATGAAATGTTTCTAAATAAAACATTCATTGCCACTTAATACTTTTTATGTGAATGTTTTCCTATGTTCTGTTATTTCAATCTAAAAAGTGATAAGTGCAAGTCGATCGGTAGTCAGCACATTTTTCCAATATCACATTTATTGGTGGTATAAAAACTGCGGTAAATATGTATCTGCTTTTTATAGGCACTGGTATATTCCGTTTATGCTATCCTTTGCTACCAATTTATTCATGCAGCTCACATTTTAATTAGAACCGTCACAACATGCAGTATCATTTTATTTACTTGAGACGGTAGGATTTAGTCATTTGTATCTTCCCTCACTTTGTGTTATATTCTTTTAGAAACATATATACTTCCTCTTTCCGTAGGTTCAAACTCGTAGTGCAGATGAACCAATGACCACTTTTGTCTATTGTAACAATTGCGGCCACCGTTGGAAAGTAAGTTCCACTTAATTGCTTCGTTATAATTTCACATTTTTGGACCATATTCTGGGTGGTTTATTTATATTAGTCTCAGTAGATTCCCCTAGTTATCTCGTGCACTCTCAATGAATACTCCTTTACATGGAGAAATTTTAATATACTTTTGTTGCTTAGTCGAAGCTTTTCCAAATGAATGTCTACTAAATGCAATCCTAACTTGTAAAATATCTCGAACTATAAATTTTCACAACTCCGATGATGTAATAACGTTATTCATCATGTTCATTCCAAAACTATTAAGCTTAAAATCTAACTGGTGTTGTTATTGGATTGTAGTGCTGCTATACAACCAAGAATAATCCGGCACTGTTGGTTGTAAAGAGCGTTCTTTTATGCTTGAAATACAACCAGTCTATGTAAACGGAATTCACAAATTGATCTAATTTCCTATAGCGGTTACGGTCTATTTCACATTCATCGACCCATTATCATGTAAATAACTGTTGTTGAAGATTCAATAGATTATTACTGCCATTAATTCCAAATCTTTTCGCAACACTGATATCACTAAGACCCCATGCCAAAATCGAATTTCCGTTATAAGCTCGAAATCTATGGTTAGACCACTTTTTCTATGTTCTTAAATGCCATTCTCTGAAAAAAAACACTTAGCGAATACTTTCAGAGTCCCAACTTGTGCTTGTTTTTTATTCCCACCAATTTCGAACTTTGAATGTATGTAAACAAGTAGTTTCTCATTAAAGACAATTCAAAATAGTTCGTAGGAACTAGTTTCATGACTTAATAAAGTTGAAAGTATAACTGGACGACAATGTGAATATCATATAATTACCGCAAAAAGTAAAGTAATTGAATAACTTATTTTTTGCATAGTAAGATCGGGTTGTATTAACTCCTCAAAGTCTGTTTTTGTATATTATATCATGATTTAAAAAAAACAGCTATGTTACCGTTCAGGTTCCTGGATCCAAGCAGTTGTTTTTCCGAAGGAGCTGACTATCTTCAAGCTTGTTGTCTAAAAGCTCAGTCCATAAAGCAATTAAACGACGTTGGGGAATGCATTTCCATAGTATCCAATGACTAGGTGAACGTAGATTATTACGCTATTTCCAACCAAAAGTCAAAACGATGCTTATATATTCGCCAGTAATAAGGAGTTTAACGCAAAACAGAAATCTGTTGTCATTAAGTCGGTGTTCATTAGCATGCATACTCGTGAGCCGATTTATTTACAACCAGACATTAATTGATCATCTAATCACTTTTTCAAGTAAGTTGTCTATCTGTTTTTCTTGTAATCATAACATTGTTTACACCAAGCATTTGAAAATTTGTTTTTCTAACAGTTTTGCTGACAGCTCGGAAAAATCATTGTCCAATCACACTTATGTACTAGTTTTCTGCTGCGAGATTTAATTAGATTGTTTCAATGTGAACACTATTACTAAAGAAGAAAGTAGAGAAGAAATGTGCATCTTCGTTTTCGACCTTATTCATTCTCAAAAACCTGTTTTTTTTTAGCAAGAAATAGACTGTCAGAGTTGGACAAAAAGATCAATGATGTCCCTTTATTTTTTTTCTTGCGATTTGTTGTCGTACATTGTCTGTCTGAATATATCTGAAACTTGTGTGTAAATATTATGCATGTATATGTTGGTGTATGTAAATCGCTCTACATGAAAATGTCAGTTTTGTTACATAAAATAGTTATAATATACTTTGGTAAAAATGTATAGGAAAACAGTTTTCCACTGAGATTGTCAACCTGTAAAGTTGCTACTATACTCCTAGTGTATATTTTACCGCTTTATGTAACTCGTTACTCTGTTTTTAAGTTCCCATTGTATTAAAAAACCATGATTTATTCATATATATTATCTCTGTAATTTTTTTGCTTTAAGACTGTTCATCATTAAAATAATCTTCATTAATTCGTCTACAATATTACCCTTCCTATAGCAGCTTTAAATTGTACACAAATAAAATGGTATTACTTGTTTTAATCCGTATTTCAGAGTAATATGGTAAGTTATGACTAATCAAAGCTCTGCTAACATAGTATCTGTTTTATCTGTTAGAGTATGGTCTAGACCGATTGTTTCATCCACCCAGTCATTCAAACGTTATGTAGAACCTGGCATACTTGTGCATCGGTTTAAGTTACCACACCATATTAATGTAGGGTGATGCCAGAGTTGTAAACTTAATAGCAATATCAGTGGTGGCAGGAAAGATAAACAATATGATTCTAGAAGACATGAATCTATGAGATAAAAAAAGTACAAGATAATTTCAAAACTCGAACTCTGTGATAAGACAAAGATTCCCGTTTAATAAACACAAGTTAACTGAAGAGTGAGACGACTAACTCATTTATCCTTCACAAATCAAAACTCTGTCATCTATATCTTATGACTATTGGCTTGTGAAATCATTTTTATCATAATGGAGCATTTATCTTGTGTTTTATGTGACCAGATATATATATATATATATATATATATTTGATCTACCACTAATTGATTCATTCGATAAAAAGTTTATGTAATCTTTCATGAGTATAGAGATCTACAGTATTTATTAATTTAAACAACTGTCAGTGAAATAGTTATGTTGCCCTCGTGAATACTGCAGTTTGTTTGCTAGATGCAAAGCTGAATTAAGAGATTAAATTCATACATTAACTATTCGTTATGTACTAGAAAAACAGATGTAAAAATAAAGAAGTTAATAAAACTGCGAAACTACTGATTATAATCCTAATACAGATTTTAGACTTAGGGTACAAGGTAAAGATGGCAAGTTAGTTGGTAAAGTAGGGAATATTCACCGATTGTAGTGGTTGGGATATGTATTATGTATACCAAACCACAACAGAAGCGTGTTGATTGCTGGTGTAAGAATTTGTTAGGAGAAAGCTAGAGTCAAACAGGTAGGTGGTTAAAGTTACGAAGCTATAACTTAATGACTGGAAGTTGAGTGCTTTAGCCTTTTAGTCACAACGACTTGAACATTCAGTAGGATACAATATTAAAGATCAATTTTTTGTCATCCATATTGTCGCGTAACCTGAATCCCTAGTTGTATTGTTAGTATCCTGAATATGTAGAAAATGCAGGGTAGGGTATACCAAGTGGGAAAATATAGAATTATTAAGGCTTATTCTTAGATCAAATAAAATGCACACTGTCCCCAAGTATCTATAGAAAAGTACTAAAGTGTAAATAACAAATTTACTTCATTATAACGTATACCGAGCACTTAGAAACCTAATGAAATGTATCATAAGCTTACCACGTTATTTTGTGATTTTTTTTTAAATGACAGCTGTCCAAACATCGTTTTATCTACTGTTAATCAACTTTTGAAGAGTGGCTGCGATAAAATCTGATAAGCTTTCAGTTTACACTAAATATTACATTAACATCTGACAATTTTACTCCCGTTTGTCGAGGGATTAGTATTTTAATTAAAAATCCCTCTTACGAGTTTCTGGTTGGTAATCAATCTCATGTTATTTAATCATTAATGATAGTGGAAGCATAACTACTAAACGTACAATGTTATTAAATTACGTGAGTTGTCAATTTTAGTGTATTGTATTGAAAGTTAAGCATTCTACCAATTAGTTGAAAACAAATTATAAAAATCTATCTGACTAAAAACACTGTATTGACCACCTGCGAATGAAAACAAACCACTACCAATACCTTTCTTACTAAAACAAAGTTTAAACATTTAATAGTCAATATGCTTCATTTATAGTTTTATTATCAGTTTAGTCTGCTCATTTATACATAACATTAAAGAGAATAGTTACGCAAATAAACAATTCACTCTAAATGATCAACTCGTAAGTTATTGACGTTACGAGTTTTTTCATTGAATAGTGTCATGTTACATAGTTCCTAGTCCTGATCGAATTCTGCCGGTTAAATTTACCTAGCGGCCATTAAAGATTACATGTCGTTGGTTGTTATTTCACAGTAAAGGATCAATATGCTGCGTTTGAAGAGATTATGAGATCTAAGATCAGCGACACAACGACGAGAGAAGCTTAACAATTCCGCTGCGTCTCAACCCCGCTAACTAGAGTCAGATGACTTGGTTCAGGTGAAGGAGAGGTATATCCCCTAAGTAGCCAGAAGCACTAACAGCTAATGACAACTCAAGCGCATATATGCAGCATAAAAACGCCATAGTGCAATAAAATAATAAAAAAGGGAATGAACTAATGACCTTTAAGGCCCTTTCAAGTGGGAAATACAAACTGAAAGTAAAATAGGCGCTGTTGGCACGAAAACTAGAAATTCAAATTTCTAAATTAAAGTTACAAAAATAAGACCTTTATCAAGTGACTTCTGATGACCTAGCATCCCCAACACAATAGGAGCGTCACAGTCCGTATTCAAGCTATTCGTGCTATTGATTTTGTCAGTGAGTAATATTGATTCATATCTCTGGGGTAGGGGCTCCAGCTCACCAAGGATTAAAACGCTGCTATGCTAATAAATAGGAACTGTCACCAACCCCTATCTAGGAGCTTTAATGCTACCCGATCATAAACCTTTGTTTGTTACTAGTGTGATAGTTGACTAAGATAGATTTTGAGTAGTAACCGGTTAATGTTAGACTTATTTAGCACAGGATAATAAGCATTTAATTGTGCAAGTTTCTTCATGATGCCACATTTGGAAAGCTTTCGTATATTCTATGCGTGACAACGTACAACTCATACCAGTTATGTTTTATTTTTTAGAGAGACAACTATTTTTCTATGCAGTTCTCATTAAGGAAATTGTAGTGAATTAACGATAGTAGAATTCTGATTACGTAATGGTGATTGAGCCTATCACAATGTCGGAATCCGAAACATTTTTCAATCATTCTGGTAACTAACAATCAATAGGTAGAATACGAACAACTTACTAGATAAATTTACTGAGACAATTCGTCACGTCTATCAAGGATTCTTTATGGTAAACTTCGTTAAATATTATGGATGGTTTTGTATTGTATTCGATGGACTAGCGATTAGTTTACTTTTAAAAAATACGACAAATGCAACATAGTACTTGCAAGTAGCGAAATCACTTAATCAAAACTTCCAGGTATATGGGGTTATGCCCTAAATTTGCTTATACTCAGAATGAACTATGCTACCAATGTGAAAACGATGTGCAGCTCTAAATACCGTGTTCATTTCGAATGAGTCATGTTCAGGGACTTTCCCAAAGCAAGGGGAAGTATCTCCTTATTTATATACTTGTAGAAAATACCTCGCTTTTTGTATATATGTTAAATTAAACATTTGTAATTATGGACAAAGTCGATTGGTAAACCGCTCTTACATTTGGCTTTGCGTTCATGTTCATTTCTGTCTAATAAAATTCGACCTAGTAGCCATTGTACTACTTGGATTCGACGATAAGAAAGTTTCCTAATTGAGCAGATCCGCCAATTTGTTTTTATGTAATAATTCACTAATATCAACTTTAGTCTGCTTGATAGTGATCATTTCAATAAACTATTTATTTCCAGATTAGTTTCATCTTGTTCTTTAAATACATTCAATCATCCGCGCTCTCATGACATCTGAGCTTTTTTGATTCAATGGAAATTATAACGCATGCAGTTTAATCAATTTTGTATACACATTAAGCTTTAGATCTCTTGAGGAACTTTGTCAGTATTCTTTTCATGGTCAGAGACCTATGCTCCACGAAGGGTAACAGGCGTAAGCAAACTGATATTACAATTCCTTCCATAAACACCACGTATTTCTGTAGTAATGTACCTCCGGCTCTTTCGTACTTTGGAAGCTTAGTTTTCAAAAATGTTGAATAAAGTGGGAAGTTCATTACGGTAGGAACGTTTACATATATAGGATAAAACTGTTAATTGTAAACGTACATTAAAAAATGCTTCTGACTGATACTTGAGAAATTCCATTCAATTAGAGGTAATTCAGTTGAAATTCTCATGGATAACCTGAACATAAGGGAAAGTGAATGTGTTATTTAATATTTCGTCGGAAATCAAAGTGTAATGTCAAGTTTTAAAATCTGACATTAGTGTTTTGCGTTATCCTAAGAAATATAATTCTATCATGAAATATCTTTTATGTGTATTGATTAGTAGAAACCAGTTATTTTATCTCCGATTCTCTGTATTATGCCATAAAATCTTCCGGTAATTATTCGTTAAACAATGTTTCATACTTAGGATTTCAACCAGAAATGTGCTTAGAACATGTTTCAAAGTCATTTAAACTTGACTTGAAGTAGTTTGGGGAAATAATTACTTACGTCTGTTACTCCGCGGAGGAGCATAGGCCGCCCACCAGCATTCTCCA